CAGCCGAGCCCCCGCGGAGCACGGCGCGGCGAGCGCGGCCATGGAGCACGGGCGGCAGGTGAGCCCCTCCGGAGCGGGCCCGGGACACCGGCGGGGACGGAGCGGAGTGCGGGGACAGCGCACGGCAGGGAGCTGCCGGGGGCTCGGCGCTGAAAGCGCCAAGTTACGCGCTTGCTCAAATCTCCGCCCTTTGGAACTTGAGTTAATTTCACGGGAAGTTTGTTCTGCTGTTTTCTTGAACTTTTCTCCCTTTAGGACTCTGGAGACAGTATTTCTGAACTACAGGAATGGAGACCAGTCAGCTACAGAAAGTGCACAGACACTCTCTGGCTGCTCCTCTTCTGCCTTTTCTGGGCTGGTTTGGTAAGTACGCGCGTTTGAATGTTTGTTTCCCGGAAGGACAAATTAGATTCGAAGTTAATGGGGCTCTGCACAGTGTTACACTAAATCTGAACTGAAATTGTCACGGGCACAGGTCCCCCGGATTGCCCAGGGATAGATCTCACCTTTCTGGTGGTGCAGTGCCTTATTGTGGTGTCTGTAACACTTCTAAATTCTGCCCATACGCTTTAGGTACCATGTATACACACTGCTCGGTTATTTAGAATCCTCTTTTTTTGTAAATCAGTCCCGGCTCTGACTGGGCTCTTTATTCTACTTGTTCATTGTAGCCTTGATGTCTTGTGACACGTGTCCATGCCATGCGACATTAAGTCACTATCTTAGAACAGTGTGCAAGATTTTGGGAGTAGGCTTTGTCTTTCTGAAACATGACTGGGGTTTTTAATGATACATCTCAGCTTGCTCAGGATTCTCTTAAATACACTGTTTAATTCCATGCACAGTAACTTTTTAAATGGACGATGATGCAGAATATTACCTACACATTTTGAACACTGCATAAATGGATGGTGAACTTTGTGAGCACGATAGGGGTTTTTTGCCTGCTGTCTAATCCTTAGTGCTTTGATGACTGGAGGTGATGCCATAAATGTAACCTGTCAAAGAGTAAGGATTTAGGATTTTTGTTTGGTTTTTCTCACTGTTTTTATTGATCACTTTCTGTGAAATAACTTATTGTATACATTTATTTGTTTTCTTGTGTTTGATCTTTAAAACATTTAAGAAAATGCAATGACACTAATTTGTTCACAAATATTGAAATCACATCAATAGTTCTGTGGAAATGGGTATCATGGCCATGTGCAGATACACCGCTGCAGCTATTACTCTGTTACTTAACAATATGGCTTTTATCCAGCATTCTGCACTTAAAAAAAACCAAAACAAAACAAAAACATACACAGTGGACCTGTAATGCCCATATTTAGAGGGAATACCAGAATTTTTCTAAAAGCCTGTTTCAGTTGAGGTACAGTGCCAGCTTATTTCTTGTTTTCCTCCTGAGAACATTTTTTTAATTATTAACAAATACTTGCTCTATAAGCAAACTCGATCTGGAAATACTTTGTTATTGTAACAAATCAAGTCCACGAGTAGTGTGTTAGCTTGAATTGAGGATCCTCTACAAAGATGTCCATATTGAGACAGCATTAACATGCCATCATAATTTAAAAAAAAAAAAAAGTTCTGAACTAGTAAGACTGCAAAATAAGAGTCTACCATAAGCAAAAATTATATTTTTCTCAGGACTAAAGAAGCACATTTGTACATGTTTGTGTATGAGAAATGGTTTTGCCCAGATCCAGTCTTTAGTCATAAGTACTAAAAGAAAAACAAATACAGGCTCTAAAGCTTAAGTAAGAGGGCAGTTGCGCTGGGTCTGATGTGTGCAATCTGTCTTGAGCACAGCCAATATTCAGCTATTCATTCAAAGCAGCAGTGGTTAATGTGGGACTGAGAAGCCTTGCTGCTGGTGCCACCAGCTGGCACATAGCCATGGAGCTTAGTGATTGTCCTTGGGTGTGTGAGATGTGATTTGCACCCTGTGGGACAGAGGAGAAGCTTGCATCACTGAGTTCTTCAGCAGCCGGAGTGATGGGGAGATAAGCCTTGGGTAAAGTAGCACTCAGGACTTCACCAGTTTCACAGAAGAATTGTTGCTTCTTGGCACTTGCAAAGGTTCTCTGGAAGGATTGTTTTGGCCCTCACAATGTACAGGGGGTTTCAGCTACATTCCTAGACAAGGTGTTTTATTTTGACTAAGGATTGCTGCTGCTTGGCCAGCAGAGGTATTTAGCTGCTTCTGAAGTTTACAGGAAGATGATCTGCTGGAACTTTGGTTTGACAGCAGAACAACTAAAAGGTCAGGGCACTGTCATCTAAGTGCACAGTATGGCTTTCTCCAGGTTTTTCACATGTGTTAAAGAGTGCTCCTTCCTGAAATTTCAGGTAATCTCCATTTTTAATATATTTTGTGTTTAAAAATACCTCTGATCAAATTCAGTAGCAGCTTCAAGGGCCCATCATAGCAGCAGTTAAATTGCCTGAATGTGTCTTGAAGGTCACCCTGTAAAATGAGATGCAGTGAGCACATGAAAAATCACCATTTGAGTGATCTTGCCCAGTGAGATACATGAACATCACTAGGGACAGTGTTTAGCACCTTAGTAATGCTTTCCTCTTATTTTAATCAGGGCATCCATCTTCCTTCTCCTGTGTTATTCTGCTTAATTAATATACTTCCAGCAATAGATGAATGAAAGCTCTAAGGAAGCAATAGGGCTAATCTTGCCCATATGACTTGCTCTGGCCTTGTGCTGAGGGGTGAATTTTAGATTTAACTGTTTGCAACAAGAAGGCAAAGATGTATGACTTAAAAGAAATATTGATGGAATGAGAAGGAAAAGCCATGGTAGCATGCTGTCACATTAAAACAAATATTTTAACAGATGTTTATAAGTGGCTATGCTGTGGTGGCTGGTGCTGCAGAAAGGCTCGTGCTTGGATATGACAGCTTTGGGAACATATGTGGTCGGAAGAACACTCCTGTAGAAGGGGCAAATCTTTCTGGATTAGATATGACTAATAAAAAGTAAGTACATCAGACAATGTCTAAATAAATCAAATGTTTGAGAATTTAGTTAAATACACATCTTCTAGTTGTCAGCCATATATATCTGTGTATCTACACTGTTGTATTGAAAGGCAAAAAAGGTGGGAATAGTGCAAAAGAAATTAAGAAGTTAAGATAGAATTCGAAAATGTGCTGCACTGTTATGCTTTATACAGCTGCCTTCTTAAAGAGGATCTTAAATGGGACATCAGCCAAACAGGCAGTCATTCTATATGGCAAATCTTTGTACTTAAGGATGTTGCACGCTGAAGTTCCCAGTAATTCCACTGACTCCTTTGGCAAAAGTTTCACTTGCTTTGTAGCACTTTAAAAAGATGGAAAGAAGGTTCAGAATTTAAACTTATTAAAAAACCAAGAAAACTTGTTTTTTGAGAAGAGGATTTTTTTTCTTTCTAGGTATGTATTCTTTCTGAATTCATGCAGCCTGGAAATACAAAGACACAAAATCAGTTCACTTTCCTTGTGCGTGTCAAGTTGTCCACAACAGCAACTCAACTCTTTGGAAGATCTCCAGAGTTTTGCAAGGAATAATGGTGTGCCACAGGGAATATGAGTACCTTAGTGTATCTGTAGAACAGTTGAGCAGCTTCCACTTTGTTTTTATTATATTTCTTACACTAGGGAGTCATATCTTACCATTAATTTCCTGAACAGCTCGTGGTAACACAAAATAAAGTTACTTGTTTCTGCTTTATTTCAAAACCATAGTTTCTAGAAATGTTACAGCTCTCTTATGCAAATTAGAAAGTTGTTCATTAATTCCTGCACAGTGCTGGGATTATGTAGCAGAAAACTGACTGCTGAGAATGAACTAGTGGTTTGGTGGGGGTGCTAGGAGGTGACCAGAGTTCATATGCTGTTTGAGACTCTTGTCCAATTGGTTCCTTCAAATGTAATTAAAACCATGGTGGAATTATTAATTCCATGAAGACACAAGTGGATTTATCCCTCTGGACATCAGATCCCAATGTTTGCTATTCCATTTTGTTGCAGTTTAACCCCAGCTGGAAACTCATTACCACACAGCCACCCAGTTCCCAGCAAAACCAGGACACACCTAGAAATTTTATTTGATTCTGGCGTTCAAGATGAAAATTCTGTCAGAAGTAGCTGTTGTATCAAAGTGGCTCCAGTTTATTAATATCCAACATGTAAATAAAATAATCTGTAGCCTAAGCCTTATTTCATGGGGTATGTATAAACTTCAGACCATATGCATATTAATGGATATTTTTGTTGGAGGTCAGTGTCCCATTCTGGTTTTTTGTTTGTTTTGATGTTTTATTTGGCAGGGATTGCTATTTAAATTGACAATATTTGTTTTAATTTAATTTTGGGGTAGTTTGCCATAATTTTGTACGTGCAGAAAGCTGTAAACACCTGTGAGATTATATAAGTATTTTCAGTCTAACTGAACATAATTGCATCAAATTCCAGCTAAAACTGCTTGTATGTTTATGTCAAGGCAGGGAGAAGTCTTGCATTTTGAATGGCTTGGATGTACCCAGCCTTTCTTTCCCAGAAGTGCTGTCTAATGGAGCAGAGTCTTGTTAGCAGAGTACCTGGTAATATTTCACCTAGTTCCCAGCACAAGTTAGGTTTCTGGATACATATATCTATTCTGTTCTAACTCAGGAGGGCCTAGTTCTATTGTAGCTTCCATTATTTCAGGTTTTCCTTTTACCCTAATGAGCAAGGATTAATAGCCAAGTATGGCACTGTGGAACAAAGAGTGTTCTTGCCCTCCAGGAACATAAGTGGTAACTGTAGTTAAGTCTAGAAGGCAAAAGATTCTGCAGAGATTGGCTGAGATTTACTCAACTACCTAATTTGTTATTCACATTCCCACTGGAATATCACGGATGAAAATGGCATGCCAAGGGATCAAACCAGAAGTGCAAACAAAACTTAGCTGTAAATGTGTTTTTTCCTCTCAATTTTTTGCTAACCTTAAGTTACTTTTTGATTTTTTTTTTTAGATTCTTTTCTTTGCGTTTACAACCTGAATGTTTCCAGTTACACCCTAAATCCAAAGGTAGCTCAGCTGTGTCCTACACTGCCAGTTCCACCAAGGTGAGAATGACTGGGTACTTTACAACCTCCTTGAGTCCAAACAGCTTCTTACTGATTGTTACTTTCTCATATTTTGTATTTGTCTGATGCTTCACAGTCAGGATGGTTTTGCTTTGTTTATTTATTTTTGTCCATGTATCCTTACAAGTTCTTTTATGTGCCTGTGAACATGCCAGTGTCCAATCCCACAGAATAAACAAGGCCTGCATTCCTTTCATTCCTCTACGCTTTAGAGAGTTTTCCCTCTCCGAATTAGGAAAAAGCACTCCATATGAGGAACAGCTTAGCTCCTGCACAGACTTTTGCTTTCTCCCTCAATGCCAAGGATGTGGTCTTTGGTCTTGCTTCTTCTCCTGAGCCCAGAAATTTCCATCAGAATAATTTTATAACCAGATGGCTTGAAGCACAGATCTATGGATGGTGCTTTGTCAAATCTGGCACTTGTGAGTCAAAATTCTTAAACCCATGATTTTAAGTTCCACTATGTCATGAAAACACAGCAGAGAATTGGAATCTCCTTGTTTGCAGAGCTAACTCATCTCTGCTCTGAACAGCAGAAAATGGAAGAACAAAGTGCAGAAAGCAGGAGACATGTAAAAACATTACGTACTGTGGGTCAAAAGACAGCATGTAAATTGATGAAAAAATATGGCATGTTTCATTTATTTCCTCAATTCTCTAGGCCTTTTTTTGGCTTGTCAAGGCACTCAGCACAGTTACTCATCTTGCACAGAAGTATTACGTAGTAGAAGCAAAGCTAGTTATGAAATTTTTAGTTGTTGGTAACAAACCCTCTCCTTTTCAGGTATGAATATGCCATTGACTGTTGCAGGGCAGCACTGCCAAAGCAGGACAATAAATATATGCAAGAAGCTTGGCTGGGAGTGCCATATAATTTTGTATAACTATTTGGTGCCGTTAATTGTACCTTGCAAACATTGTTTTGGTGTGGCTTTTAGAATGCTTAAATATAATAAAAACAATACAAAATGTTTGTGGTCTGGAATTATCTACAACAGCGTAGGTTACAGGCTATGTTAGCATGAACTTTGCTTTTACACAAACACATGGGAGCAAAGCAAGTGAAGCCAGACTAGAATGGGAATAGGAACTATGTGCTGATGGTGATAGTTAATGAGAGAGTTATTAATTTCTTTCCCCAGGCTGATCTTGGATGGATCTGTTCTGGTGTAGTGATACGGGCATGACACTATTAGGAGTTTATTTTGCAGATGATACAGAAAACTACTCTTTATAACAGAGTGCTCTCTATGGAGAATGGCAGGATGGATCTTTGTGGCTTTTACTGTTTGTCCAGTAATTAATATTTTTTACTACTTTTGTTTTTAACCTTTCAGTATGTCCTTTCCATTATTTAATCGATGTGTTCCACAAAATCCTGAATGCTATTCCAAATATGCATCTGTCCTAATACATATGGTTAATGAAATGGATGTTTTTCACCGAATTCTGAGTGGAATATTGGCAGGAAGAGATACTGTGATAGGACTGAGTGTCCTTGCACTAGGTAAGGTTATAAGTAAAAAGTGAATAACGATATTAAATTATAAGGTTAAAAAGTTTCTTATTAGTCTATATGTTTAATTCAAAAGTGGACTTTTTTCATATTTTCTGGGCAGAGTTATTTTTAAGAAGGAGTGATGAGGTTTTATCAGGAGGCATTTAATAGACTGGCAAAATGCAGATCTCTATCAGAGTCTGTGCTCATGGTTAAATACCTCATTTTGGGGGATGGTAAGAAATTGTTGATGAAAAAAATGACATCAGCATGAATACTTGAATTTAAATCTTACATACAATGTTATTAAAAAGCTAGTATTTCCTGTGGTGAAATACATCAGCTTTAAGTTCCTTATTTTTTAAGTTAGAGGTAACTGTGTGCTTTAAATGTTAAAAAGGTTGCCAGTTTTACTAAATGCTTTTGCTTTTAAGATTATGGCTTAAAAATAAAAGCCAAAATTCTACAAGAACCTTAAATTTATATTTAAAATAAAAAGGGATGTAACAATCAAACTTACTTTATATGTATTTCCAGCCTTCTCTTTGATACTGGTTTTAGCCTTCAGATTCATTCAGACCCTCCTCATCCATACTCTGATTGCGCTGGTTGTATTTGGGTTGCTGTGTAAGTATATTTACTGTTTCTCTGCGCTGAAGGGCTGGCAGCTGAACAAACAGCTATCCTTTTGTTCCATGGCCATCCTCAGTAACCTTCAGCTTACCACAGTCATTTCCAAGCTGAGGCCTGCTTGCCTTTTGGTGCCAAGGTCTGGCTGTGCTGTTCCAGCTGCCGAGTGTTAGGATGATGGTGATGTTTATTGTTTTTGTAGATGCCTAGAAACAACGTTTCTTTTGGCAGATGAATGCAGTTATGAAAATGCTACTGTTTCAAAGAATGCTTAGTGAACTGTTATACTGCCTGCTTTAGGAAGGGAGAGCCATAGGAATGCGTCTGGCTAAAGCTTGTCATTCCATGAAAGTTAGCTTTGTATCTCCACAATGAAATTACATGCCTGAGCCTTAGGATAACTGCAAGAAATCCAAATGTTCTGCTGCGGCTTTACCTCAGACTGACAGGCCACTATGGGAAGTTTCTCTGTGATCACTGATCCTGTGCCTCACGTTGCTAACTGAGAGTATTCCCAAGCCGAGTGTGGGACAGTGGGGAGGGCAGGAGGCTGGGAAGGGAGGCCAGGCAGGCACCAGCCTGCCAGCAACAGCGTGCCCTGCCTGCCCTCACGCTGCTCTGCTCTGCTCAGTTGTCTCAGGTGTTCTCTGGTGGCTCCATTATGACTACAGGAGTGACCCCAGCACTGAACTGGAAACAGAAAAGGAAAACGCAAAGTTTCTACTTGGATATGCCATCTTCTCAACAATAGTTACTGTAAGTAGCATTTTGCCCTAAGCAATAGCAGAGGCTGTAACTTGAAAACTGGAACTACAGTGGTTCTGCAACAGTAAAAATAATTTCTAATTCTTTTCAAATTGGAAAATGAGAATAAATTCTAAGATCTTCTTACATTCATTCAAATATAATCATAAAATCATAGAATGGTTTGGGTTGGAAAGGACCTTAAAGATCCCTAGTTCCAACTAGATTTTTAGGCCCCCATCAAAACTAAAAATATAATTTTATATCTTCATTGTGAGACTTGTTTGTTAGCCTTGCCATACTTCAAACCCATACAAACAGTGTTATTATTGTTGGTGTAAAAATGCAAGAATTTTGTTCCATCCCCATTTTGTTCTGCATCAGCTTACTGAAGAATCATATTGAATAAACACAGAGGCACTGGCTGAGTATGAGCATGCCAGCAGGAAAAAGGGGCGGCAGCTCTTTTAGACAATGAAAGGGGCAGTGAAACACAGGCAGCAGTGCCTAGACCTCAAGTTATGGCATTAATTTCTGGTTTTCTCTCACTGATCTTGTTTTACAACAGAAAATCTTGTGGCTTGCAACTTCTTATGTGATTTTTTTTCCCTCTGATGTTGCAACGTTAAAAGAAGCCATTGGTCAATTTGAGGGTACAGTCAATTTATACTTCATGAGACATTTGTCAAAGCAATTGTCCTGTTGTCTTAGAGATGAGTAAGATCCATATGGAATTTGCCAGATATGAACAGTCTGACAGTTTACAGTGACAAATATAAATGTGTCACAGATCAGATTGTTTCTTGTATCCTCTATAAGTTATGATCTTTTGCATCTGCTGATACTAAAGAGGTAAGAAAAAGTTTCTTTGAATGTTTGTGTGTTCCAGTACACAACTGAGTTGTTTGCAGAACTGTGGGAACGTCCACTGCTGCAGGTTATGCTTCTCTTCAGAGCTGGTGGCTTCTTTCTAGAGCACACAAGAAAACCAGTAAAGCAACTGTCACTGGTTGTATTTATTGTTTTAAAGATTTCAACCTCTCTTTTAATTGCTGATCAAAGTTCCTCATCACATACAAAGAGCTGGGGATATTGTTTGATTTTTGACTTCGGGTTTTGTTATTGGCAGGTTGGGTTTTTTACCTTGGGAAGATAATAATTTATTTTAAAGTTTTCATTTTATGTCTGCTTTGCTCCCATACATACATAGCTCTCAAACTAGTTTGTCTGTGGACTGCAGGAAAGCACTGGTGGTTCTACCATTGCAAAAGTGAACAGTAGCAAGCTGACCTGAGTAGAAAGAAAGTTTTAAAGTTCATGACATGCAGGGTATATGAAAGCAATGTTTAGTGTGCAATGTATATTTATGTTTGCTATAAAGCAAAACAGACTGCTTTCATTAGATGAATTAAAGTGTTATGAATCTTATTTTCTTTAAAAAAACAGCAGCAATTATTGCAAGAAACCAGATTTTAATCCACAGGCTCTTTGAGAACCTAGGCAGTGTCTTGGAAGGATTTTCTAATGTGTAGTAAGATTGTATTAATTGCTTTGCTGTCATGTCTTTGTGAAATCTGTGTCCTCTGATCCCACATTTGACAACTCTGATAGTTTTCTTGAGGTAAAACCCCAACAATTTGTCTTCTTTTTTCCCCTAAAACAGATTGTTCTGCTCTCCCTTATACTTGTACTAAGAAAGAGGCTTCAGCTTGGTGTACAGCTCTTTCGAATTGTTGGTAAAATCATTGGCAGAATTCCTTTCCTCCTCTTCCAACCATTCTGGACCTTTCTGATTCTCGTTGTGTTTTGGGTATTTTGGGTTGCTGTACTACTTAGCTTAGGAACTGCAGGTAAGTATATGCTCTTTATGTTTTTTGACTGAGTGCTATCCATTTCCTAAGCTCTCTTCTTAAATGTGGAACCTCTTGGTTTTTTGTGTACAAAATGTGGGCTAGCATTGTTACACAGCTGAGTTACTCATTCGTTTTTGGTTTATTTCTCATATGTTGGAGTCTTCTACGTTGGCCTTTTGCTTCCATATGTGGAATTGAATTTTGTTCCTTCTCATTTATTTGTTAATAGATGGTGGTAGGTACTGTGTATGTTTGGTGTACTTAAGTGAAGAAAGCAACAGAAAGGAGGAGACAGCTTTTAGTGCAATTGTCACAAAATGAGGATGTTTGTCTCTTCTTACCATAAACCATGTTGAATTGTCACAGAGGCAGAACATTGCTTCAGAGCAGTAGTTCAGGGACAATTGCTATCATTTGGACTAGTAGAACAGTATTTGGATTAATCCAGTGGTTCTTGCAGTTGCAGAGGAGGTTCTCTGTGGAAAGAGTCAAGCAATGTGAAGTGAAAGATCTGGCAGAACAAGATTTTTAGTATGGACATTGTATCACTGAGGGATATACCACAGTAAGATCTGTCACTGACTGAAGCAGAGTAATTTGGATGCTGTCCCTTGGGCCAGCACCATGCCATTCAAGTGAAAGAGACATAGTCCTTCTGTGGACTTTACCCAAAGAAGTGAAAGCTAAAATCTGTGTAGCTCTGGAGTTAACTCCTCATGTACACAGCATCCCCTGTCCATGAAAAGCATCAGGATTTGGGGGCTGGTATTTTTTAAATTTAAATTTCTAGGGCCACTGTTAGGAGACAATTGTTATTCTTTGGGTCAAAGCTGATGTAGAATTAATGTGGACAGAGACCATTGTTTATAGGTTTTATCTTTTCAGAAACTTGGCAGTGATTGTTGTCTGGGAAACCAAATGCAGCCTAAATCTTCAAATGTTTGTGTGTTACTGTTTTACTTTGTGTTTCCACCATTGCTTGAGACAGTGACTGCAGTAACCCCTTAGGACAGGCTTACAGATCCCCGCTAGGCAGGAAAGCCTCCAGTTTTTCCATAGCTGAGCCCATTTGGCAAAGCTGGCTGTATTTCCAACCTCTATGTGTCAGGTACTTCACTCCTCTTCTGTCACAAATGCTTCCATCTCAGTTGATTCTGACCCTTTACAAGAGCCACTTCACTTCTGACATGAGAAGCTGTCTGAGTCCATGCTGGCATTGCAAATCACACCCATTGTTTAGGCTGGACTGGGATGTTTCCCTCCAGCTTTCATTGGAGAGTCATACAGATTTGCATGTTTCTGCTGTCTTGAGTAGCTCATGTCTGTCAGGAATGGCTGCTCGTAGCAGCTCTTATCCTGCTTCTCCTGAAAAGGGTCAGACACGGCATGGCCAAAAGCCTGACCTGCAGTTTATTTGTGAATAAACTCACAAGATAGTCACTAGATGTCACTAGATGTCCCTAGGCGTCACCTCCTCACTAGATAGTCAATCTGATGCCCTTTGCTTTAGATGTCATGGATATTCCTTCTCCACACTACTGCGAGTTAGATTTTCCCAACACAGAAGCAGCATCATGTGCTGGACATAGCTCTGTGTTGTTAGCTTTTCTGCAAAATCTTTATGCCATTTATGTAGAGATCAGACAGGCAGCAGTAATTTTGAAACTGGCTTTGTGGGGTACCTTCAGAACGTGCTTTATAGAAAGGAGCATCTCCTGAGCTATCAACCAACTGTTCATCTCATGCACCTGCTTCAGTCAAATACAATTTAAGATAAACATTAACTGTAGTAAATAAACAGAACAACAGAATTAATTACAACACATATTTTCTAAATATATAGTTAACAAGATATATGAGAGAAGATATTACATCCTTGATGTTGGATCAAGCTGACTTGATCTTAATATGCACATAAGGATGTACAGCTTGCCCTTGTTATATCTAAGTTTAGAAAATTCCAGGTGAGTCTGTTGTATTCAAAAGCTTTTGGAAATGCAGCAGTCATTAGAAAAGTAGAAATATTTTAGCTCATGTGACAGAAAAAGCTTGATTAGAAAAACAGGTTGGGAAAGCATTTGGTTATTTTCTGGATGCTTTTACAGACTTTGCAGGAAAATAGTGACTTGCACATTATAACCAAAAGCAAAGTCCACATATATTCACAGGGGAGGAAAATACAATGAAAACTGCTTTTGAGAGGCTTTTTATGCTTTTCCCATATTGTGCCATTTTCCTTCATTGGTTATATTCTGTGTTTCCTGCTAGGCATTTTCATTTAACTTTTTTTCTTTTTCCTCTGCCTTCTTGGAGAGTAGGATTCAAACATTTTATGACCTGCTGTTATATTCAGAGTGCAGCACACAACTCATGACTCAAAGGTATTTTATGTTTTGTCTTCTCTCTAGCTTAATAGGAATGCTGATGTTTCCAGCCAGTGATGCAAACAGTGCAGTACAGAGGGCAGCATAGGCTCGCTGCACAGCAGAGTGATGCTAAAGTTTCAGCTTTGAAAGAACAGACTTTTCTCAGATTTAGCCTAAGAAGAGAAGGTCATTTCCTGGCACTTAACTGTCAGTATATCGCTTATATGAGCAACCTAGTAAAACACAGGTTTTAACGGAGGTATTCTGGCAGGGTATTTTTAGTGCGGACTTCAGCCCTTGTAAGATCCTCCTGTTAGAAGCATCTTAGTGTTTAGAAGAGGACTTGTGCACGCGATGAGTACCCGAGTCACTTCTCAGTTAAAACGAATGCAGATGGAAGGATGCCGCTGTGCTCGGGAATGTCTCCGCTAGGCTGGGCGCTGTGTCTGTCCCGGCCGTGCCGCGGTGGCGCTTCAGCGGGCTGTCGGACACTCGCCGCCTGCCTGTCGCCGTGCCTGTCGCTGGGTGCCTGTCGCTCGGTGCCTGTCGCTCGGTGCCTGTCGCTCGGTGCCTGTCACCGCGCGTGTCGCCGTGCGTGTGGCCGTGCCTGTCGCTGTGTCGCCGCCTGAGCCCGCCAGGGGGCGCCGCAGGCCGCGGGAGCGCCTCAGGCCGGGCCGGGCCGGGAGCGGCCGATGGAGAAGGGCCGGGAACAAAGGGCCCTCAGCCTCCGGGAGCGGCCGATGGAACAGGAGTGCTCCGGCCAGCCCTCGGGCTGAGCAGGGCTGCGTGTCGGCAGGGCTGCCCTTTGGATTTCCTCACGTGTCTTGTAATTCAAATCTTGGATGGCGAACGCTGAACGAGATTTGGTATTGAGAACGTTCCGTTGGGTTTTATTTCAGATTTTCTGCCCAAATACGAGTCCTCTGAAATTCCGTCTGTTCAAGTAGCTCACCATCAGATAAGCTGAGGGTTCTGCTGATCTACCATGACATACCCACACATCCTGTAGTAACAAATGCAAACAGTACTGTATGGTTGATAATGCACTGACAGGACACCTTTGTATTATTTATTAGTTTTCTACAACTGTCCTGTAAGTGGAAGACATTTTTAATTTTGAATTTTGGGGACTTTTTGCACCACTTGAGAGTACGCCTCTGAAGATCTCCAAAGATATGCTTTCTCTTACAGAGCAATTTGTTTTCTTCATTAGCAAATAGTTGCCTGTCTTGGATTCAGCTTGTAAAACACAGGTGGTGATTTTCTTGGGTTTGACACTTCGATGTTTTCTTCTCACAAATATATTTTCTAGGGCTGTGCAGGCTGTATTTTAAATGGAAATACACCAAGAGAGCTGAAAAAATGAAATGTTCACAAAGACACTAGTCTTTTGTCTGATACAGAAAGATGGGTAAATGAAATTGGCTTGCTGCTGTGCTGCACCTGCTCTTAGCATTTTTCTTGAATCTGCACTAGTTATACAATATTTATGGTGTCTGCATCTCAATGGTTCTGGAGCACTTGATCCTCACTTCAGCTGTGGTGCACCTGATCATTATGTGACCATGCAGGCACCTTATTTACACCTCCTCCAAAAGTTAGTGTAATTGTAAGAAAAAACCTAACTTCATGGGAGCTATAGAAAGTTATAGCCTGCACTTGAAAGGTACTTATGCACATGACTAATTTGAACCACATGGATAATCCTATTAAAATCAGTGGGACTACTTATGCGTTTTAGGGTAGGCACCTGCCTAACTACCTTGGTAATTCAGATTCTGTCAGGGCAGCAGAGCCTGAGCAAATTCCAGACCTAGAAAACTAGGAGAAATGCCAAGACTGCATGAGACTTTAGGTAGCACAAGCAGTGGCACAAGTTAGAACCATTAGCTGGCTAGGAATGGAATTCAGCTGTTCTTTGGAAAAGCTGATATGTCTTAGGGTTATTGAGTTTTATTGTTTGCTAATTTGTGGGTATTTCACTGCAGAACCGAAGTGGCCAACTGGCACAGCAGAGCGTGTCTTTCAGCTTTCCAGCATGCAGGAGCTGTGAGGTCCACGTGGTGTAAATACTGTGGATGTAGGATGAGAAGGTGGTGTAATTTTTTTTTATGTAATGAAGGTGCATCCTACAGGCAAGTGAGCATCAGAACTGCCATTTAAAGCTGTGCAGCAGCAAAATGGGCAATAAAAATGTATTTCCTGCAGGGGCCCTGACATTCCAATTACAGTTAGGTAGCTTACCTGTAAATACCTTTACATGATAAAACACTAAATAAGGTAACACAATAAATTCTGTTGCAGGAAGCACTAAGATTCAGTGTATGATTCCAGAACCTTTCCTCACTTAGCAGTGGCAAGGGCAGAACATATTTTCATGTGAACAGGAACTGATAAACAGGTTCTCAGTATTTTTTGTCAGTGGCTCTTTGTTTGTGATAAGGAAATTGCTGGCCTGGACTTCCCAGGAATTTTTGTCTTTTACAACTGCCTGTTGCTGCAGGCATCAGCAAAAATGACCTAAGTCTGGAAATCCCAAAATGTAGCTGAAGGTACTGCACACACCCACCACGGACTGGTGTCTCATTGCACTGCTGTGCTGGCTCCCAGGGCAGCACGGGGCTGCGAGTCCCACGGGGAAATTCTCCGGGGTTCTGCTGCAAGCACTTGTGCCTGTTCGCATTGTTAACATCACTTCCTTTGAAGTATTTGCAGTAGATCTACACTTGGACTGATCAAAGGCTTCCAGATTTGGTGATTCAGATGTAGGGACTTCGGTTCTTTACTGAGTTGTTTTCAATGTTATCACTAAGAGTGTATGGTGCACTGGGAAGATTAATGATTGTGTAGCTGGAGAAAAATATTCTGTTGACAGATTAAACTGTGTTTCAGGGCTTTGTTGAAAAAGTTTAGTTTGTGTGAACAGAAATGGCATATACTTTTCTCAACAGGTTATCTAGGATGGCTTTAAAGTTTTTCTGAGATACTGATATAAAAAAATAACCTTGCATGTAGTTCTGTCAACATGCATGTCTGGTAGGCCCAGAAGATAGGGAGGCAGAGAGGTTTATATTGTTAAACAGATTTTTGTGAAGTAACAAAACTAGTTTACCATACCTGACAAGCAAAGCAATCAAAGGTGAACTCACAGGTGACTCTGCCTGATTTCTGTGCAGCTGAGCACAGCACCATGCACATGTTCAAGTATAAAGTTGTCCAGGAAAGACAAAGCCATTACTGTTATTGCTGCAGGTGGTTATTTTAGTAGGTTGGTAAAAAGCAAACAGAATTAGCTTGCCGTATGTACATGTATCAGTCTTCATTACAGCACTATAGAAACAAAGCCTGAAAAGGTCTGTTTTGGACAAAGCAATGTCCAGGTGGATTGTATGGTGGAAAATGTCCTTAATTCTGCTACCGAATGGCAAAACGTCTTTCCATGAAAATGGAGAGGTAGGACACCTTGTATCTCACTGACATCTTGTTTGCCTAAGTACCCTTAGTGAGGGCTGTAAGATATGGATAATGAGCTTATTTGGCTAGTTGTATGTGCTGCAGGAAAAGGCAGTCTAGAGGCTCTGGAAGAAATATGGAAAATGAAAAATCTCTTGAATTCAGAATTATATAGTGCCATAGTGTCTCACTTGTTTTAATGACTTAAGTAAATTGCTATATCCTCAAAACCTCCCCTTAAAAACCCTCACTTTTGCAAACTTAAAATCAGAGAGGGGAGGAATGAGGGAGAGTTTGTGAGAAGAGATCTGAGTAGTAGCTTTTTCAAGCCATCAAATATCTTACACTTCACAGACTTGAAATTCATTTGAATATATTGGAAGCACAACAGTATTTCTATGAATGACCAACCGTACAGCTCTGGAGAGAGCTTGCCTGTTCAGCCAATATTGTCAGCCTCTCAGAAAAGGAAATATCTAGAACATGTCTATATTTATGTACCCATGTAGCATTTTTTTTATCCTTCAAAGCACTTTAAAACAATGTTGCATTGCCAGTATGGGGTAGATGGATGTTTTTCTTAATTTACAGACAAAAAGACCTTGCTTCTGAAAACTTAAAAAAGCTTGTCTAAACTTGATGGTATTGCTGAAACAAATCTTTACTGTTTCTACTTTTAGTTATTCTTGAGTAAGAAGTCTTTGGCTGTAGAAAAACAGGCCAGAAAGAAACCATTTCCTAGATAGCTTTGTATGTGTGGTAGTTTTGAACTTGAAGGTTGGTGTGTTGCCCTGTAGGAGAACACAGAGTCATAGAATCATTTAAGTTGGAAAAAACCTTTAAGATCATCAACTCCAGCTGTAAACCTAACACTGCCAAGTCTGCCAAATGAATACATGAAGTATTAAAGCTCAAGTTATATTGCTGTTTGAGGAATAATAGTCAATTCTGCCTCACTTTGTTGTTTTTTTCATGGAGTTGGAATAAGAAACTACTCACCTCCAGAGATTGTTTTATTTGGTGAACATGTTTCTCTTTAAGGTTAATAGACTTAAGGCTTGGTAAAATAAAATAATTTTTTTGGAAAAAATAGCATGTTAGGAACCTAGAGACCTTTTACTAGGACCAAATGGTCCTAATGCCATTATCCCCTGGCTAGCCTTCAGAGTCTACTGCCACAAGTAAGATTACACAGAGAAAGTCTGATTGTTAAAGAATCTGAGTTGCCCCCACCTTTTGTGAAAAGCCTTTTATGAATATGTAATAAATTCTTTGTTAGTAACAGAAGTGGAAGGAATGTTTTTAGCTTGAATAAGTTAATTTGTCTGTGTTCATAGATAAAGTAGTAACACTGGAGCATGTACTACCATACCATATATGCTACTTTTTTTTTCCCTTCCAGAGAGCCCACATTTCTGTATTTTGCACAAAGATTGCAAAGTATAGAGAACAGAAAATTAATGGCCATGGTTCTGATTAATAACTATTAAAATATTTTATTTGTTTTGCTGCAACAGTATGTTATGTATCCCTCCTAAAGTATTTCATAACTATGCATTTATTTCAAATTCGACTAATGAAAATTAAGATTTCATTTACTTCTGAAGTATTTGATTACTCAAGTCTTGAGTAATGTCTTCTCACATATCTTTACTAATATGTAGCTTTCCTCTTTTATTGGTAGCTGTCTCTCAATCCCAATTGAAGCACAATCTTTTGCTCTTTGTAAGATTTTATTTTTCAAAATTCAATTTGAATTATAAAATGTTGTTTCTCTAACTTTGTTAAAATGGACAGAATTAAATAGCATCTTTTTTTTTTTTTTTTTTTTTTTTTTTTTTTTTTTTGTAACTTTACTGAAGAGAAGTTAAGAGAACATGGACAGAAGCACTTCCATGTACTTCTTTGGCCCTGTCCCCCCTTCCCCTTTCCCCCTTGTCTGGCATGTTATAATAATACAACAGTGTAATCTCACCTTCAGGTTCTGCACAGTCCACTTCAGGAGGACAAGTAGAATACAGAGCTCTGTCTGGAATTTGCTACATGGCATGGTATCATTTTATTGGCCTTATCTGGACTAGTGAATTCATTCTTGCCTGTCAGCAAATGGTGATTGCTGGGGCAGTGGTTACTTGTTATTTCAACAGGTGAGTGCAGAATTTCTCCTTGATAGTTTTGGGGATTTTCCAGCATTTACTTTCAATCTTTTTCTAGGAAAAATAGTCTCAATTAGACTGCAATTTATGTCAATATCTGGAATCGAATTTATTATAAAATAATGTTGTTTGTTGCAAGATCTTGAGCAAGATTTTACAATGTGAATGATATTAATGTGACTCACCCCTACTGCTGGAGGTGCTGGGCCAAACCAGGCCTTGATTTAAGCCATTGGAGCTCTGTTGACTCTGGGGGAATTGCCATTCAGAAGGCATAGGCTGCATTGCACCCTTTTCCAGGGGAGTGCATTAGTTCCCAATGAGAAGCAATATATTATTCCTTGGTAGTTTCATGTATTCATGGACAGTTTGACCTCATTGTAAGTGTTCATCCCTGCTGTGGGTTTCCATTTGCACTGACTGCATAAATGCTGGTCTAATAGGGTTTTTTTCATTCTATGCAGATATTTTCAGTTAGCTGTAGATGCTCTAACAGAGTAAAGTGTTTAGACAAATGCAAACATACTTCCTTTAATATTATATACCCTGGAATGTAAATGTAGAGGAAATGAGGAAAAGTAAAATGAAATTAAATTGGGTTATGCACTCATTGCAGGGGAAGATTTAAATCTCACAATATGTTGTTGAGTTTTTTGACAATGAAGAGAACATTTTCTTGATAAAATTTTTCTTCATGAGTATTTTATGAGTGCTCTCATCCTCAGTACTCTGTTCCTCTATGTCCAGTGATGAGATTTTCTGATTTGTGAAAAACTCTGGTGTTTTAAAGCATTTCTTCATTTTGTATTAGAGGAATATAATGATAACCTCAATTTGTTGAAAAATTAACCCTTGAGGAAGGTGATGTGAGATTGAGGTAGGGAGGCTGGCCAGAGAGAGCGTGGGGCCCTTGGAGCGCTTTTGGTGGCTGCCCAGGGCCATATGGCTCGGGCAGCTGGGAAGGATGGCTTTGGCCTTCTCCGAAACTTAGGAAGCAGGGTTCTGTGGATGGTCTCCAGAATATATCCTTGGGTGTTCCAGTCACTGATCAAGGGGCTGCTGCTGGAAGGTCTCCAAATAGTGTGCTGCCCAGCAGAGACACCAGTGCAGGCTCTGCTTTCAGGACTGGCCCCACAGGGTTTTCCTGCATCAGCCAACGGAGCTGAGCTGTTCCAGCCAAAGCAGCAAGGCTGGAAGATCTAGGAACAGCAAGTGCCCACCCCTGGTTCAAGCAATGTTATATCATCCCATGCAAAAAGCCAAGGCAGGACAAGGTTTAACATTTTTAACATAACTCCAGTATTTGGAGCCTGCCCCTGAGATGATTAACTGCACAACAGCTGTGCTACTGAACTCGTGCTTGGGTAAGAGCAAATAAAACCTAAAATGTTGCTTTTTTAAAGGCTGAAATAGTTTTGAAAGAGTGACATCATCTCACCCTTCTATTTCACATGCTATACTAGGATCTGAAAAGAGAGGAACTCTCATTTCTGATGTCATCTCTTTTTCCTACTGAAGCTCTATAACTCCCACGGCTGTGCTGCTGTGGATAGTGAGCTGCACTTCTCTTGTAAGCACATTGATGTACCTCAGTTTTAGCTGCTGGATGCCAAGGCAGTGAAGGTTCATTTAAATTAGCTTGAGAAAGCATAGGAGAGTAAAGTAGTTCTGCTGAGTTCCTGAGAAGTAAAGTAGTTCTGCTGAGTTCCTGGGCTGTGTGCTGCAGTGCATTTTGGTGCAATACACCGCATAAACCTCCAAGGCAAAGGCACTGTCCATGTCTTATTCATGCAGAGCAGGGAAGCACCTGTAGAAACTTCTGTGATGACATTTACTGCTCTGCTAGGGGCTTCCGCTTTCCAGCTATTTTTTACTGCTGCAGGAACTGGCTGCCAAGTACAGAAGGTTCCTGCTCCCAATTGTATTGGTATCATTTTGTACAATACCACTGAGCTCTCCTCTTGCTTGCCAGGTGACCTGTACTGTGTTGAGAGAGTTGTGTTTGCAAGGGGAAACACAACTTTTCTGTGGTAGTAATCCCTTGTCCTGGCCTTTAGGCTGTCAGCACAGATCCACAGAGATGCAGAACAGTGCAGGAATGGGGAGAGGGTGGGTAGCTGCAGGGGCAGCCACACCAGAAAGGGCAAGGGTTATCTCGAGCTGTTCCAGCAACTCTGAGCTTGTCTGCTGTGTGTTTTTAATGTATTCCCTGGGGCAGCGTCATAAAAGCATGTCACAAGAGTTTGTTTATGGGATCTTACAGACAGGCTTTCTTCTTGTCCTGTGAGTGCTCCGAGGAAATGGCATGGCCTTCCCATGCGGAAATCTCCTTCCGCAGCGCACTCAGCAATGCACTGCATCACCAACAACCACAGCTGAGTTGCAAATGGGGCAGGCAGGGTAAAATGTAATCCATTTTACCTGGATTAGCTTTACAGGTTATGTATATTTGGCCTATAATACCACAGCTGAAAATGGATTTTACCTTCTTTTATTTTAGATGAAACATAAACAGACAAGAATTTCATTAATTTTATAAAAATAAATAGAATTTTTTACTTAATGTTTACATTTTACAGCTGGTGAAAAGGGCTCGGTCTTTTAAGAAGCCTTCTTTGTTACAAGTGCTGTTTTACATGAGGGTTTATTCTCACCTTGATTTGCTTAGGTGTTACGTGTCTATTTACCTTTGCAGGGAGATGAGCCTTTCCCCCTCTCTGGGAGTAAAGGAAGGTGATATGGTAACTTGATCCATGTCACAGGCATCACTGTCCTGTCCATGTGTGAGCTTCTTTAGTAGCTTCAGTGTACATATATCACTGCACAGATTTGAAATTAAGGATTGGGGTTCTCTACTACACAACTAAGGTGTCCAGTACCACAATTTCCAAGAGAACTGAAATATGTATCTCTCCCAGTAAGTCAAAAATGAAGGTTTATGGATGTGCACCAAAGTCATTGAGAGATGAACTAGAATAAACTTTTAAAGACTTTCTGCTTTAAAGACAGAAACTTTTAAAAGCTTCTTCTTCAAATGTATCTGCAATATTTAGGGACATCCTTTGGCCTACTTTCGTACTTGCCCTAAAAGAGCCGCCAGCATGTATGGAATCAGACCTGTCCCAGGTGGCTTTGAGATAAGGTAAAAGGGCAGTAGGAAGTACAGTCCGTGTGGTCTCTCTTAGTTTCATAATGTCTGTTTCATTACAAATCTTGTAATTCATTGTCTTTGTTTAAAAATGTAGATTCATATTTACTTGAGGAATAGAAGATTCATTACATAACATTTTAGAATATTTTATAATAAAGTTATTTTTAGAAAGTCTTTGAAATTGGTGAGGCATGAGTGAAGAAAACTGTAAACAAAGCTCTTAAGAGAAGAGGATATTAAAGAAATTAAGAAATACAATTTTCTCCCATTCAAATATCTATGTCTGTTGGGTGTGTCAAGATGACAATTTTTTCTTCTGACAAAAAATATTTTTAAAATGAAAGCCAAGATGAATGTGTGATCATTTGGTTCAAGGAACTTACTGTTAAAAAATATACTGAATGTCACAGAGCTCAGAAGTAAAAGAAGGCAATTGACAGTAGTGAAGAAATAAAATTAATAAAGTATAATGTGGTATTGAATACAGATCCACAGGAGTTTAGAGTAGTAGTGCTGTATGTAAATCAGACAGTCTCATGATAACACAAAACAGAAATACCAAAGAGGAAAAGCAACCTGTGGCTGTACTCATAACCCATCAGGCAGATTCCCAGGTTTCCCTGGCACCTTGTGCACATGCAGTGTAGTTCATGTGCACAGAAAACACTGCATGATTGTATGCTTCTGCTAAAGTCACTTCAGGATTACATATATACATATACATACATATACATATTATATGCACAAAGGTGAGTGAAACTTCAGCCTTGAGAGCAGTGGGAGTAGGTGGATATTGAGCCAATCTTGAACTTGTTTGAGTCGTAACCATCACCTGTTGCTGTTTAGCCTCTTTCCTGTTTCCTATTCTGAACCAGAATTAGAAGGAAAATCTGTTCTTTTTCTAATCTGTTTGGAGCAAAGCAAAATCCTTGTCAGACCCTGTTCTTGTGCTAATTCCTTTTCTAGGAAAAGGAGGTGTTGAAAAGCATCCAAATATGTAAAAAATTATCTAAACTAAGCTTTAAATTTTGACATTCCTGCTCATTATTTATTCACATTAAAAATATCAAAACCGTTCTTTGTTTTTTTCTTCAGTAAGAAGTATATGATTAACACAAGAATAAACTTTCTCCTTTATGTGTTTCTTATGACTAGTTAACCTTTAACTTGCAGAAACTTAATAATTTATATTCTGAGATCAAACTGACACTGTCATTTGTAAGGAAATGTTTTGGGGAGAAAAAAAACAATGGCTCAGTATGAATAGAATAATTTATCCACACTACAATATATGTGTTTCTAACATAGAAACCTGATGGCTCTAAAAAAACCCCCAAACCTCCTTATTCAGTATAAAATTCCACTATCCCCCAAGCTGTTCCCCTGGTTTTAAGACAAAAATAATAAATGTAGCAACTGCTTTGCTGGAATTTCCTATTTCAAATAATGTGGTATATTCACATATTTAAATACAACTTCTCCGCTGCAAAGTTTTTTTGTGTTTTGAATGAACTGCAGTGATACCTTCAGGATTCTTGCAGAACTATAATCCCTCTCTTGAATATACTGTATATGATTGAAATCCTTGCTGAAGTGAGGATTTAATAAAAGTGTATTTTTAGAGCTTCTTAGCCCAAACCACTCACTCTCTTATCGGTGCTTTTTTATTTTTTAATTTCTTGTGCAAACTACTGTTTTTTCAAGGTAACAGAGGTTTTGAAGAAATTAATTCTGAAAACAGAGCTTCTTATTTGTGACACTAGGTCTGATCTTTATGACTTACTTAGTCAAACTTAGTCAAACTGCTGCTGGTTCTCTTGCCTAACTAAATTTTTCAGGGTTGGGCCAGTTGCTTAATAGTTACTTTATGGAAGGTCTAATTATTACTATTGATCAGTGTAGGTTTTTTTTTATCCTATGAAGCATTTTTAAAGGTACTTAGGATGTTAATCTAATTGATTTTTTTTTTCAGCATTTGACAAGGGTTGAGGGAGTGCCTTTAGGTTGATTTCCTGAAGTTTATATAAATTCTAGAGAGCTGGGTCATATTACTGTATGTAAATGACTGACATTTAAACTGACTTTTATAAAGGAAGCAAAATAGTAAGACTTATATTTAGGCCATTTTTTGTCTTTGCTTTCTGATTTTGGCTGAGACATTTTTTTTTCCAAAACAATACAGGCTAGTGTGCACTAGAACTGCAAGTTTTTTAGTTCCAATTATAATCCTGAATACATAGTATGATATTCTTTTTTACTGTATTCCATTTCAAAAGAACGTCTGTTCTATAGGGAAAAGAAAAAAAAGAAAAAAGTAAAACAAAAGAAAGTATTATTCATTTTAACAAAATTTTAAACCATATTTGGCCAAATTACAATTATAAAAGTAGGTGGTAGCTCTCAATTTTACATGTGAGAACTTGTGATTTATTTTCTAGTTTTAATTTTACTGCTAAAGAAGAAATAGTGGATTAATTGCATCAGACTAAAATCTTACAGAATTAAGAGTCAAATAAGAGATTGAAGAGAAGTGACAGAAATTGGAGAGAGGTGCTCAAGGAGTATTCTCAGATATTGTTCACTTCTCCTATTTTGCATTGTAGGTTTTTTTCCTATGTATTTTTGCATTCCAGGAAACAGTAATTGCTTAAGAATTAAACTACCCCAGAAGTTATAAATATGGCTGTGGTTTTTTTTGGACTAATGTGAACATTCAGATGAAGTCAGTAGAAAAACTGGAGTAGTTCAATTAGGAAAGGAGTTAACAGCTTAATTCTTAAAATTTCCAAATACTGAAAAGACACAATGCTTATCTTCTTAAATATGTTGCTAAATCATTTTTCAAATTGTTTGTTTTACTTTCTAGAAATAAAAATAGCCCACCACCTCATCCAGTGCTGTCTTCCATATCAGTTCTTTTCTGCTACCATCTAGGAACTGCTGTAAAAGGCTCATTTCTAATCACAATACTGAGAATACCAAGGATTGTTCTCTTGTACCTTTACAGTATCCTAAACCAAAAGGTAGGTAAATACTTCTGTTACACTATAAAAGTAGTAATTTAAAGATGAGATCATGGTGCAAACAAGTGAAGAATATTTCTTGCTTAAAAATAGATGATACTGCTCTTACTATCTATTATTAATGGATGAATTTTATATTTTATCATGTTTTCTTCGTGAGGAAAGCTTTTTTCCCTCTCAACTCAGATATCAATGCTTCTTTTTTTATTCTTAAGTCAAATATTTTTAAAAGCAGAAAATATTATTTTAACCAATATTAAACTAACCTTTATTTAGTGTTTTTATATAATCGTTTTTGTGAAAGATAAAGAAAAAATTGGCAGACTGCTCTATTAAAAATTTTTGCATGACAGGTATTTAAGAAGCATAATTAAGAATACTATTGTTAGATTTAAGATCTGTTATAGAAAATACTTTTGTCTACCTTGTAATATGTTTTTATAGGAAGAATATATGGAATAAGAACTATTCCTGGGAGTTGTGTAGTATCCAAGACACATTTTTAGATACATAAATCATAGATCTGGGCTGTTTTGAATGGGAGTTGTGTAGTATCCAAGACACATTTTTAGATACATAAATCATAGATCTGGGCTGTTTTGAATGGGTTTTGCCTTCTTTTTACCTTTCATACATCTCCACCTTTATTGTCTTCTGCAGGAAGCAAACCACTGTAGGTAATTCTGGCACATTTGCAGGGAGGGAGGACTGCTAGGAATGCACAGCTTTGATTTTAGGAGAAGGTTTAAGAAAAGGTTACAAATGTAGGTCTTTTCCTCTAGGGTTTACATTGTCCATGTTATGTATAGTTGTGACAGGGTATTTACATTGATCATACCTATGAGGCATGTGTTGGGTATAGGTTATGAATGCTTAAATAAAAACCCCTTGTAATAAAACACTTGAAAGGTGTGGTCTGGATTTATGTTGCTTTCATATGAAAGTTTTGGTTATAAAACTTGGTGAGTTACTAAGAACACTGTATAAAGACAGTACATGGGATAACAGAGTATTTTCTGCCTTTAGAGAAAGCAGGATAAGTGGGCTTGCTTGTTACATGATTTTGCAATCTGAATGTCTGTAGATTTAATTAGCAAAAAAAGATTATTTGTGTCTGCAGCACTGTGCTGCAGACTCCTTTTGGTGCAGTTCCCAAGCATCTGGTGACATGACCCACAGCTGTAACTGCTGCTAAAGAGACTAGAAAGTGCTCTGGCCAGCTCAGGTCCTCAGTCCTTGGAAGGCTACCCCCAAGAGTAACCTTGCTCCTTCGCATGGCAGAAAGGACAAGTGATGGCCCCTTTCACCGAGGGCCAGAGTAGTGGGACTAAAGGATTGAGAAGTGACTGCATTCTTGTAGAGCTCACCCAGACTTACCCACCCTTGCAAAAAATGTTGCTGTTCTCTCTGAACAGAGAAGTCAGGGGCCTGCAAGCTTGCAGGCAAATTTACAGATGTTTTCTACACAGCACTCTTCAAGCAGAAGGAGGTTGTAGGTAAAGTCCCTTGCTCTAGGCTTTTAACAAACAGTCCTTACTGAGAAAACAGAGCTTTAGTAAAATCATCTCTCCATCAGTACATGGCAAGAGTAAAGTGTTCTCTGTCAGGAATTTACATGTACAGTCACTGTTTTGAAGGAGTTATTCCTGGAGTATTTTCATCAAACTTTTTGGAAAAATTTGGGAGGTTTGTGGTTTCTGCTTGAACTATAATAGTTGCTGGGACCTGAATTTTCTATAGTGACTGCAAGATCTCTGCTTTCCTAAACAAGATAAAAACATTCTGACCTCTGGAAAAGTAGGATTAAAAAGATCAAGTATCCCTGAACTGAATTTCCTTTTATTGAGAAAAACAGGCTCTTCAATTTGGAAGGCTACTGTGGATACGAAAATGTCTTGTTCTTTTCTTGCATCCTCTCTGTGATGAGCTGTTCTGAGCTCATGATGTGATGGGGGAGCATGGAAAAAATCTTAAGCTTTACTGTTCAGTTTTTGTTATGAAACTAATACAGCTCAGTGGTCTATGAATAACCTGTTCTAATACAAGATTTTTCTTCATGACCTGAAAAATGAATGTAATGTAATGCTCTGAGTTGAAACACATATATGTTCATATAAGCCCTTCTACCCATTCTTTTATTTTGGTTCATTAGGGTAGCAGTCGTTCAGAACTGTGAAAGGTTTTTGATAATCAGGTTATCTGTCTCTGCACTCCCTGATCACTGTGAAGTGCTTTAAGGATTACTGACTTGCCTGCCTGTTTTTCTCCCCAGGCAGCTGTTGGCTCACAAAGCTGCTTGCAGCACTTGTTTTCTTTTCCCAGAGAAGAATCTTTCATCTACAGGAAGAAAAAAAAAATGCACAGCTCTTCAGTCATTAATATTGAAGAGTCTGAATTAAAAACAATTCCTAAAATCCTAATGGAAATATCTGCTGCCTAAGTGAAAATTTTATTAGAAGAGTCAGCCACCTGTAAAGCAAGTTTTTTTTAGAATGGTGGTTTTGCTTGAGGCTAATTATGTGTCCAATAACCAATCATTTCATTTTATTGCAGAAGAATGCAAAATGCCTGTTCAACTGCTGTTTCTGCTGGGTTTGCTTCCAGGAAAGTTGCTTAAGATACTTTAACCAGGTATGGTCTGTCAGCTCTGTCCCTCAGCCCAGTTTGGGTACCTTGGTTGGTGCCTGACCCTTAGAATAACTCAAAAACCACAGCCAGGGCACGCTGGCCACCTAAATTAAACAAACAAAAAAGCCTCCAAGTGTAGATGAAACCTGGAGCAAAGAAATGGGGAAGACAAATATGCAAGGTGCTAGATTTTAGAAAATTTGTTAATACAGCTTGAGATAGTCAGCTTTCAGAGGACCACTTGCTATCTCTGTAGGTAACAAGACTTAACATTTTGTTGAGTTGTGCCAGACAGACTCCTCAAACACAGAGAGTCCAGGTAGGAGGAAACAATGAAGAATTAGGAAACATACCTGGAGATGTGACATTAAACTAGTTACAGTGTTTTCCACCTAAAAGTCCTGAATAAAGAAACTTAAATTGCTAGTGATTGCCAGGATCAGTAAATCTGAAATCTGTATACCAGTAAATCTGGAAATACAAACCATAATGACAGCAGTCTTGTTTAAAAGATGTTTTAATTGGAAATGGATGATTTCTGACATACAGCACTTTTACAGATACTTGACACCTCTTTTTATCTTCACAATTCTTTTCTCCAAATGTTTCAGGTTTACATATATACTTGTAAATAGTTAGTTTTTTGTCTTTGTCATTGCATTGTTTTTATCTCTGGGGACTGTGATATTCTTAATGTGAAAGGGAATCATATGTTCATGCTGATTCCACCTTCTGACTGCTGAATTCTTCATTCTCATTGCTGAAGGTAGCAGTGAAGTAAACAAGACAATTCTGATAAAGAGTCTGACTTCTCTTAAGTAGGTGTATAAATTAAGTCTAATCTTGGACAGTTATGAAGAGAAAGTTTTCAGTTTAGTTCACCCTAGATTAAATAGGGCAGTGAAATCTCTGAATTTTCCAGGCTTACATTTTCTAGGTAGGTCTTATAGTCAGTGACTTGGTGAGGAATATCAGAGTTCATTTTGCCTGCAGGCTTTCCATTTGTAGTGACCCTTTCCCCTTGGCTTGGCTTCCTGCTTTTCAAAGAGACATCCAGCATTCTACTGTTTACTTTCTCCAGCTGTTGTCTGCTATGTGTTTGTTAAAAGAATTAATTACTGTAATGTTCTTCCTTTTGTTTCAGAAGGCTGTATTGTAGCTCTTGTTCCCTTAAAAGATTTCCTGTTTCCTAATCTATTGTTGGCAAATTTCTGTTTTTATATGAGTTGTGGTTTTTAATCTAGTGATCATAATACAGAGTTTGCTTTTCTTTTGTTTTTTGAATATCTTTTTAGAAAGGTGATGGTAGTCCACATGTTCCAAATCCAGGGCAATTTGGGCAACAGAGAAGCAAAAGGCAAGAACAGGCCACAAGATTTTAACGGAACTTTTATCTCTATGAAATTCAAACTTTGGTCTTGGGTTATTGCATCTCATAGAGTAATTCATGGGTCTAATTATATCTTTATTTATTTATTTCCCTATAGCTAACCTGTTCAAGGCTATTTCTTAAGAATTTTTTTTTTTTACTATGATTGAAAGTCTTAGTCTTTGATTCTGTAAAATCTGTGGCCAAATGTAAAAGAGAAAAGAAAAAAATAAGGAAAAAAATTCTGCAGTTTTAAGCAGCTTTGATATATTTCTTGATTAACAGAAGCAGTGAACTCTTAAGAGCTCCTACTGAGATTGGTGGAAGCTGCTGGGAACAACCTAGAAATTTCCCACAGATGTTCAACACGGACTTGAGAGTAGGGCTTGGGAGGGAGGGGTTAAAAAATTGTACCTGTGTTTATAACATTTTCTTAAAGAAGTACTCTTAAGTTCAGATTTTGATTTTTTGTAACCTAAAATATGGAGCAGCTGTTGTAAAAGTTGTTCCAAAGATCATTGTGTACAATAGCATTCCTTACCATTTGCTATTCTTTTGCTTTTTATTCTAGTATTACTTTCGTTATAATGAAAAGCATATAATTACCTGAAGCTCTAAAGAAAAAAAAAAAAAGAAAAAAGGGAAGATCCAATCACTTCTCCACTATTTTCTTCAGCCTGTTGTTAAACTGCTTAGGTAATTGAAATTCTTTCTGTTCCTTCATTCACAAGTTTAATCAGGATTAAGCAGAGTACTTTGTTTTCCCTCTGAGAACTTGCAAATGAGAAACAGGTGCTAGAGGAAGTAACCCCAGTGATAGAATGCAAGCTTCTTTCTTCCCATGTGGAATCAACCAAGTGCTCTACTGTGTTATCTAAGAGTACTTTTCAGGCTGCAGAACCATCCTGCACGTGGGGTTTAATACTGACTTTAATAGTTGCATGCATCCCTGAAGTGACTCATTCTCTGCTGGCTCAGTTAAGTTTTGCTGAGCTCTCTTGTAGGTTAACTTGAACAGGCCAAAGAGTTACCCTGTCATCTTCCCATCATGACAGAGTGCTGTGCCAGATGATGGCAACTGCCATATTTGCAGGGGTGGTTGTTGGAGGAGGGGTAATGTAAACCCAGTGTCCTGTGCAGATTGCAATATGGACAATTACATTCAGCCTTAGTAAATTTCTCTTGGATTTGCAACTGGATCCTCTGCTAAGCTGTGGTGTAGTGTTGCTATGTGCTGTTAAACAGTTCACTCCTTAAGCTGTTCCACTTCAGTCATGGGCAAAGTGATTCATGTGTGTGTATAATCCATTAGCAACAATTGTAAAGCACTCTGTGTTCTGTGGCTGAAAAGTGCTTTCTGAATATAAAGTCACTATCCTTACTTGACAGTTCTGTTTGCCAACACTTGTCCGAATAACCACAGATTTTTTATCTGGCTCTGATGGTTTCAGTATGTTCCAGATAAACATATCCAATCATCTCAAGTAAAATCTAGGAGACTGAGTTTTTTTTTTCTGTAGAAAGAATATACTGGTTTTTAATGTGGTTTGGGAATTACAAGGTCTGTGTCTCTCCGGCTTTCTTAAGTTGTAATGAAGTCTTTAGATACATCAAAGTGCTCACTTGTTCTCCCTTTACAGCCTTGTTGCAGTGACTTTTTTAAAACAATACAGCTGGATAGTTTGGCTTTTCTGTGTCTGCTTTGGGTCCATCTGCAGCCAGTTGGCAAAGTGACCCCTCCAAAGTGCAGTGCCTGGGTTTCCAAAAGGGGTGCTGAGCCGGGTGTGGTTTCTGTGTTCATCAGCATGGTTGCTGCAGTGTAACCTTCTGGGCTGTCAGTGAATTCAGCAGTGTGTGAGCACCATTTCCTAGGACAGAGGCCCTTCCCTGAGACTGAAAGCCAGCAATTTTCTAATGTAATAAACCAAAAGAAAGTCTGTCTAATGGCTGTATATCCATGGCAGTTAGTTGTCTCTTAAACTTTGGATGGAAGCCTATCAGGAGGTTTCAGTTAAATGCCTTGTGGAGAGTTCACCTAGATAAAACCAAAATTCATGCATGCTATTGTAAAGCACAGTTCTCTGCATGCCAAACACATTTTGCCTCATCCCGTCAAGTACTTCTTTTTCCTCCCAAAAACAATACTGCATTTTAATGTTACTGGCAAAACTGCTTCTAGATATAGAGCTAATTTTTCAATCCTCTTGAAAATACAAGGATAAAATGTTCTTCTACTGTGAAATCATATTTTAAATATGTTTATTTTCCCCTCTACAGACTTTATGTTTGTGATAATAAATAGGAAATAAAACTCCTTAGGTCTTTACTTCTGTAGGATGAACCATGTAAGGAATAGAATTGAACAAAGCTCATTAACTCTTTGATACCTTTCTTTTCTTCCCTATCCCATTAAGAAGAAACAGAATGGGGGAAAAAAGAGAGGGAGAGAGAAAATAAAAGGCATTTAAGCAAGTGACTGCTAATTCTGTGCTTTTAAGCAGAGAAATTTATGAACAACTCTCTGGAAATCTTCAGTTTGTTTTATATCAGAAATCCCAAATGAGTATTTTCTCACTAAGTGCAGAAGCACTGAAAGCAACCCAAGTAACAATGTAATCATGATGCAATGGGCACATGAAACAGGAATCTTTTGATCTAACCCTGTCATAGAAATGGAGCCCACATGTAACACTGTGATGCAGCAGGAGAGGACACCCAACTACCCTCCAAGGAGAAAGTTGTGTTGGTCCTACTCACTGGATGATAGTCATGGAGGGAGTAGATGACAGAGAGAGCAGGAAGCAAGGGAACTTGAAAATTTTCTCCAGTAAGTCCAGACAGAAAATATAAAGTGGAGTGGAAATAAATGAAAGTTGTGCTTTTTAGACTGCTTGGGAAAATTCAGGAGGTTATTGAAGGTTTCTTACAGATTGTATTTAGCCTAGGAACAAAAAATCCAAAAAAAAACCCCAATTTCTGTAAAAAACAATTAATAAGCTGTGAGCTTATTGATTAGAAGTGGAGGAGGGGAATATTCTGCATGTGTTTGTGAGCCACAGGACAATAGCCTTTTTTTAACAAGGCTGCAGGAAGCACAGAGTCAGTCCTGGAAGCTATGAGATGAAACACTTGCACTGGAAAGAGGGGGATAAATGTCATAGTACAAGTTGCTGGTTATGTCCTCAGACTTATCTCACTGTGGGGAATGGAATATCCTGTGAGAAATGAAGGGTAAGAGCAAGCCCATTAGCCATCTATGAGACAGCAGGGAGGGGTAAAAGGCAGACAAGATCATCAGAAAAATGAGTAGATGTAAATTGTTCATGAATAAATGTTACCTGGAAGTTGGAAGAAGGACCTAAGGATCAGCAGGACAACTGTCTGGAGCAGCTCCAAATGTAGGGCCAGGGAGAGGGGAAGTCCCAGGTGTTTTAAAGAAGGAGTTTTCCACTTAAGAGAAGATTTGTATAATATTCTAATCTGAAATAGGCACTGGAGTGGCTGAGAGTCCCTTCCACTTTTGTATGTCCTCATCTCTTCAGTGAGGCCTCACAAGGCCCATCTTGCTCTTATTTTCCACCATCTGAGAGTATTGATACAACTCTCTCACCAGATCACTAACTGCTGCACAGCAGCCACACTCATTGCCTCTTGCTACCACTGGATTTTGTTTTCTGAGGGGCTTCCACTGGCATCAGTGACACTTGCAGGCTAAGACACTTTAAGGTCCAGCCTGAGCTGCACTGCACTGTGCTGGGGGTGGCTGCCCAGGGCAGCCCCCAAGAGAGTTGGCAGCAATAAGATCAGATCGAGCTGAAAATACCAGCAGAGCAGAAAAAGCTGAAATGAGATGAGAAACCAGCATGTCTCTTTCTTCCTTTTTAAGAAGATTTTGTTGCTATAGCAATTTTGTCTTCCCCAAGCTCATTTTATAAAAGCTAGCCCTAGAATGGAGGACTGAATTCAGCTGTTACACAAAGTAGCAATTATTCTCAACAATTGGGGAACTTACAGCCTGGGTCTGAGCCACAGCGCCTTTCTCATGAAACTACCAAGTCACTTTTTCCAAGACCTTTGACATTCTGTGTTGTGAGGCACAGAAGGATATATTCTTTAAATAGGTTTTTTTTTGCATACTGTGGTATTTGGAAATATGTAAACATTCCCATTCCCTATTTATTCATCCTGACACTGAGAAATCAGTGTCTAGTTCCCAGGCCCCAAGCCAGAACAGGCTTGTGTTCTTCAGAGAGGTGGCGATATGAGATCAACTCGCTGGTGCAAGGATGAATGCTGATTGCTAACCCACTGTCTCCCGTGCTTTCTGACCAACCTATGCTATCAATGCCGTCATTACTTGCTTGTCACCAGAGCAGAAACCACCATTGTAAAAGATCAATTCATTGGGCAAAGATAAAAATATAAGACCTATAATCTGTATATAAGGACTTTATATACTGAATCTCTTTCTAGCTCGGTATCCTATCTTCAGCAGTGACTGTGGGTAAAGGCTAAGGTAGATTAAAAGGATATTTCCCTGCCTCTGTGCTGTTTCTGAATATATTTTCAACCTAGGGACTTCTTGAGCTGTGTGTTTTCTGTGTGTTTAATAACTCTCAGCTTCCTTTTCTTCCTTCAGATTCCTTTTCCCTGAAATTCCCCATCCCTGTTGAGCTCATGTGAACTTTTAGCAGCTAACGCATCCTTTTCCCAGCAGTTCACAGTTTACAGATTTATGGTGAGAATACCATCTGGTTTCAAATTTGGCTCCTACTACTTCATACTGTCCTGCTTCTGCCTGGTCTTTGTTCTGGAAGGAATGGTGAGCCATCTAACCCTACACATCCTCTCTGCATTTCTCATGAGCCGACAGCCTTCTTGCTGCATCCTCCTCCAGTCATGTCTTTTCCAGACAGAAGAACCTCATGTTCCCCAGACAGAAGACATTCCATATCTTTTGCATCATTCCTGCTGCCCTTCTCTCATTTTCAAGTCCACTAAAACTTTCGTGCATGGAAAAATATATTCTGTAGAAACACATATTTAAATAACCTGTTTCTAAATGTCAGCAGGTTCTTAACTGACCATCATCTACCATTGTAACCTTCACAACCATCTTTAATTAGAAAGGCTTTGGATTATTGCACATATCCTGCAATTTTAAACTTAATGGGATATCTAAGCTTTTTAGTCCAAAGTCCAAAATTATTTGCAAATATAGGTAATAACTTGTATGTTATAGGTGTTCCTTGATGAGTAAGAATGAAAAATCACTCGAGTTCATTTCTGTGCAATGCTGAGTTTCATGGAAATGTATGTTAGCTTAAATGTTGGATCTGTTTTGTTAGTGAGAACATAGATTTCTATGTGTATGGATGGGATCAAGGCATGGGGCCTGTATGAGAAACTTGAGAATTATGAGGCAAGTGTATGGAATAGGATTCTAGGCTGAACAAGAAACCCTTCAAATATTTTATTTTTTCCTCAGAAATGTAATTTTGCTAAAAGATAGAGGTAACTTGGCTAAGTCTTACAATTGTGCTGGTAATATTCTTGCTCCACATATGTCTGACTAGTTTTGTAGTCCTCAGCAGTTCATTAATTTCTGTCTCTTTCTTATTCATTATAGAATGTTAGATTATTACCTGGCTGCTGTTGTTTCTTGAGTATTATCGTTAGTCATATCATAATACTTGCATGATTTCTTTAAGTTGTAACTGCTATAAATGCCATTTTTATCTGCTGGTTGTAACACAACAAATGCCTGTTCAGGTAGTGTACTGTCTCCAGTGTCATTTTCAGTCTTTCCAAGATAACCTTTCTAGTTAATAAATATCAGAAATTCTTTTCATTGCACATTCTTTGAATACCAAAGTGGCTACTTCAAGAGTGCAAACAAATGAGTATTTATTTTAAGTTTGGAAACAATGTTTGTACAAGCTCATGTGCTTTTTCAACATTCCTTTTAATTTTTAAAACACATTTTTTTGCGATTTATAATGAATACAGAATCTCTGTTTAATTTATTGGCAAAATTTATACTGACCTCACCAGATCAGGATCTGCCTTGTGAATTTAGTTCTTAAGGGACAAAAACAAATTTAGAAAACCTTTTTCTATTCTGTTTCTCAGTTTCAGTCGGTGCAATGGGAATGATGAAACAGACTGAACTCACAGCTCATAATAAAGAGAAATGTGTCCATGTCAGAAATATGCAGTGACAGCTACAGATGGAAGACAGAGGGAGTGTGTGATGTGAGACCACCTCCCCTCTGCCTGTGCCCTGAGCCAGCAGGGCTGGCACTGGCAGCTCTCCTGCCGCCACATCATGGGATGTTCCAGTGTGACAGCATCCTGCCAGGAAGGGAACAGCATCAGGATAAATGAAACTTAGCACAGAAAGCATTCCTATTTAGGAATGGAGTGAACTTGCTTGTTTAAACGTATTTTTATGCTAATACTTTTCGTGTTTCTGCAGAGTTCATTGGGGTCTCTAATGTTTTCATAGTGTAGGCAATAAATCCATGGTCTTTATTTATACTTTTTCCATCTATGGGTGCATTTGCTAATATGTAAGTACAGTATTTACAGTATGTCACTTTTTTTTTTCTTTACTATCAGAGGAAAAATAGCTATTTTTCATGTAAATAATATCCACAATAGAGGTGAAAAATCTTTGATTGCATTTAATTTCTCTCTCTTTCTTTCTCTCTTTCTCTCTTTCTCTTTCTCTCTTTCTTTCTCTCTTTCTCTCTTTCTCTTTCTTTTTCTTTCTCTCTTTCTCCCTCTCTCTCTTTCTTTCTTTCTCTTTCTCTTTCTCTCTCTCTTTCTCTCTCTCTCTCTTTCTCTTTCTCTTTCTCTCTCTCTCTCTTTCTCTTTCTCTCTCTCTTTCTCTCTCTCTCTCTTTCTCTCTCTCTTTCTCTCTCTCTCTTTCTCTCTCTTTCTCTCTCTTTCTCTCTTTCTCTCTCTTTCTCTTTCTCTCTTTCTCTTTCTCTCTCTCTCTCTCTCTCTCTCTCTCTCTCTCTCTCTCTTTCTCTCTCTTTCTCTCTCTTTCTCTCTCTTTCTCTCTCTTTCTCTCTCTTTCTCTTTCTCTTTCTCTTTCTCTTTCTCTTTCTCTTTCTCTCTCTTTCTTTCTTTCTGTCTTTCTCTCGCTCTCTCTCTCTTTCTCTCTTTCTGTTTCTCTCTCTGTCTCTTTCTTTTTCTCTCTTTTTTCTCTGTCATACAATGTTATAGTTTTGCTATGCTTCAGAAATTGCTCAGAGGTAAAAGTGAACTCTATAGAAATAGGTTTTCTTTGCTTCAGATGTCTGAAATTAATGTATATTTTGAATTGTAAGTAAAAAGAAATCAGATTTTTGAACAGGAAGGGTTTTCAGTAGGCCATTATAATTCACTTTCAGCAAACCCCTTATGGGGTGATTTTTTTTCACTTGCAGGTAAAACAGAAAGCAATGTAAGCATTGTAAGCATACATGTTTGGATTTATAAATTCCTTCAGAAGAATAATCCCTTGCACACTGTAGTTCTTACTGACCATATCAGATGTGACTAAAGTTTTTGTGGCATAATCTGCCTTCTAATAGTTTGCGTAAAGGGAAACTACTTATAAGAATTGCTGGTAAAGCCCAGCATATGTATCATGTATCATGAGTGTTGCTTTTTTCAGCTGATATTTTGGACATAGTTTCAAAACCTTGTTGAGGAGTTACATAAATGGGACATATATGTTAATTTATGCAAAAATAATCAGATCCATGAAGGGGAATATTCTGTCTTCGCCACCTGTCCAAGTAAGTTTCAACAAAGTGATATAATGTAAAATTCTCAATACACTGAAAAACTGAGAGTGCCCCAATTATTTGTTGTTCAGAGTGGGGTAGGGCATATGACCTTACAGTCAGTCTGGTCCAGGATCCTTCACGATAAGAGCCATGTATAAAAGCTTTCTAATCATCAGCCTTTAATGACCCAGTAAATACATAACCTCATTTTTCCACTTACATAGTTTGCCAGCAGTGTTGGAGATAGATAACCAGTACGTTTGGATAGTGTGATTCCAGGTGTTTTCTGGTAATTGTGTCATGTTCTTTCCCAAATTTTGGGGTAGAGAACTTTGGTGTTTTAAAATAAACTGGATAAATGTGGCTTCAGGAATTTATTTAGTCACTATTCTAATGTTTTCTAATGGTGGAAATTATGTAGAGTAACTCTTTGAATTTAGAAGCATGGCTATTATAGTAATTTATAATAAAATCGCCATATTATGCAAAATAACTCTTTATATTCATAAAGTCAGTAATTCCAAATAGTGTTTAAGACTTTGCATTTTGCTGAAGTGAAATCTAGATTATGAGTCTTTCCTCTTTCACTGCATTATTATCTTATGTCATTTCAGCATGCATACACAACTACAGCAATAAATGGGACAAATTTTTGTACATCAGCAAAGGATGCTGTTTGTATTTTGGCAAGGAATTCTGCTAAACTTACATCCATTAGCTGTTTTGGAGATTTTCTCCTATTTTTAGGAAAGGTAAGAGTAAATAAAAATAATTGTTCTGTAAAAATGAAATGAAAAATCAAGTTTGATTATAGTTTCATATACCTAAAGTAAATAAAGTTTATCTTCATTAAATTCAGTGTTGCTAATGCTATAAAATAAGCTTGGGAGAGAAGAATATTTGAAGAATTTAACTTTGCAGAGTTATTTAGTTGTATGATAGCAGTGTCCTTGGAGCCACTCTGGCTGTTCCAATTGCATCGAGTCTTTGGTAAATACATGGCAAAAGGTTTCCTCTGCCCTATGTTATTTACACATGGAATTGAACACAAAGTGTCACAACTCTGTGATGCTGGAAACTGCTTAGCTATCTCCCAGAGGAGATGTGCTCTTAAAATACTGGCTGTAATGTATTTGCCTCAGGGTTTGGGGGGATTAATTTTTTTTATGAGAAATATTTCTACATGATTAATGAGGCTGCATTTGTCTCTCACTGCCCTTTACAGGTGTTTGTTGTATGCTTTACTGTTTTTGGAGGATTGATGGCATTTAACTACCACCGGCAGTTGCAAGCTTGGGTAGTTCCTCTGCTGCTGGTTGGATTTTTTGCCTACCTGATGTCCCACAGCTTTCTGTCTGTGTTTGAAGTGACAGCAGATGCCATGTTCCTTTGCTTTGCTATTGATATGGAAACAAATGATGGAACTGCAGAGAAGCCATACTTTGTGGATCAGGAGTTGCTGGTAAACCCCACTGATTAGAACAAAGACATTTGAGGCATTCTAAGCTTTTAAGCACTTTTTCTTTCCCCAAGACCTAGTAATCTGAACCCACAACTCATGCTATTTCCTTTCCAACACCTTAGAACAGGATGGACTCAGCAATACAAGTGCATTAATTTGTAAACTGAAATAGATGGTTCCCTCTGACTCCTGTGTGCTAGCTACAACCTGCTGCCTTCTTTTAGATCATGTTCTGTTAAGTAATTGCTGATTATTTAGGCCTAATTAGATATAGCTTCAATTTATTGTTGGTAATTAAAAGATACAAATAAATAGATGAGCTAGCTGCAGAAATTGATCTATGGGGTGCCCTAAGATTAATGCTTATATTTCTTGTGACTCACTGTACACTGATGAAAAAAACAAGTAGCAGGTCAGGGATCCATTCCCCATCCTATAGAAGCTGTAGTTCTGAAAAAATTTCATGCAAATCTGAATTGCTCTGCTTCATACCTTTACAGACTCTTTTGCCAAAACACTGTCTTCTGTCTCTTGATTAAACTCTTCTTCCTCTGGACAGGTTCTGTATCTTTACCCTGGTAATTACTGTGTTGTATTACCTTCAGTACTTAGCTAATAGTGATGTAGTTCTGTAACTGAAGTCTTTGAATATATGTGTCATCCCTTTCTAATTAAGAGAATATCTGAGTATGAAGATTTTTTTTTCCTTTTGTGCTATTTTTGACACTTCTGTCTTTTCATTTACAAACTACACAACAGAGAAAAATCTTAGTGATGAAAATGAATAACCAGCAGCCAGAGTAGCTCATATGACACAAATGTTCTGGATGGATTTCTTCAGGACAATGTCAGAACTGTTTTGGAGTTTTGGTTTTTATTTATTTTTTTAATGCTTCTGTTAGAGTTTCTGTAATATTCATAGAATTTTGTTGAGAACAGCAACAGCAGCACAACAAAAAGGCAGCCTAAATATAGGCTTAACCCTTTGTACAGAAGAAAGCAGATATATATTCTTTGGCTTTGGTTCAGAATAGTACTTAAGCACATTGCCTGGCTAGGAATATGAAACCGAATGGAAAACGCTGAAGCCTTGACCTCTGTTCTTCCCTCTCTGTTTTGCCAAATTCTAAAGCACTTCTTAAGCCAATTTTCCTTCATGAAACAGAGGCTCTCCTTTCTCCACTTCCAAACTTTGTGGTAGTTTCTCTTTAACTCTGGTCTTAATTCTGTGTAATTAGCCATGCCCTAGAGCTGTGGGTGAAAAGAGGATTTCCCACAGGGACAAAGGAGTCTTCCAAGCAGGACAGGCTCTGTACCCTTCTATGGAAAAACTGTGGGCAGCACATCCAAACTCCTCCTCATTGTATGATCAAGAGAAGTTTGCTAACACAGACAAGAATTTGGAGTTTCCCAACACATGAAGGCATTTGACTTGTCTGTGTTACAGTCAGGTTACAAACATCCCGGGGGTGGAAGGGAGGCTTTGTGGCCCTCAGGACAATATGCAGCAGTGGGTGGAGAGCCGGGGGAGGGATTTCATACAGCCAGAATCCTCATTCCTGCAGTAGGAGATGTAACAGAGGTTCTTGATTCATCCTTCTCAGCTGCATTCATCACTTTTGCTGCCTCTGCAGTCCCTCCCAGTATCACTCAATGTCATCCAGCCAGGAATCAGCTACAGTTTCTTAGCCCTGGGCTAATTATCTTCCTCTACCAGGTAATTTTATTAGCATAATGGTTTCCTTTCTCAAACAATCTCACCCTGGTTTTTGCTTGTAGACCTTTGTGAGTCAGAGTAACAAGTTAACAGAAGGGCGAGAACACAGAAACACAAGACCATTCCAGGATAATGAAGATGGGACAGAGCTCCAGCCTATGGTGAGACAGGAGCATGGGATATGTATTTACCTGCCAGCTAATGTGTTTGCCTTTATGTTCCAAGAAGAAGGGATGGAGGTTATCACGTATCTCCTGGCATCTCACAGCAACCTACATACTGTATCCAGTACCCTGTTTTCCTCTTCTATTGTTTTCCCTCCTCAGGAAACCCTCTGCTACTGGAAAATGGATGGACCAAATAATTCCTCTCTTTTTTCTTCACTTTTCCCATTGTGTCCAACAGAAGCAGAGGATGTTTGGACAGTGCCAAGGGGGTGGGGGATAAATAATATTCAGATAGTATTTCATGTACCTGCTGTATCAAAGTCAGAAGAATGGTAGGCTGCTTAGTTTCATGCCAGAACTGCTGAAGTTCCAGACCTCTAAGACAGAGCTAAGAGAAGTTTCCTCTCCCCCTTACCCCCCTTTATTTCCTTATTTTTCTTTTTCCTTTTCTTTTTCTTTTCCTTTTCTTTTTCTTTTCTAGTTTTTTTTCCCTCTCCTTTCTTTCCCTTTCATTCCCTTTCTTTCCCTTTCCTTTCTTTTCCTTTCTTATCAATACATATATTTATTTACTCTGTTTAATGATGGAGTAACAAAGCTGAGGTGCCAGAAGGGAGTGTTTCCCCACACCCAGGCTTGGGAAAGTCCTCAGAGTCAACTGACATCTGAAAAAATACTGCAAATTGCCCAACCTGAGAAGCTGCCCCAGCAAGTTCAGAATCAGGGCTGATTTTCCCCAAGCATTGTGGTGGCCAGGCTAGGGCTGCTAGAGAAAGATTCTGCAGGAACCACTCCTCTGGCACCCATGCTTGCTGGGCACTGCTGCAAGTCCTCTGTTGTCACAGCTACTTGCACAAGTGTAACAGATGTTGGTGATTTTTCGTGATCTGCTTTCGAAAGGTACCAGGCTCTAGCAAGCTCTCACACAATCCTGTGGGCATTTTGCTACAGGCAGAGCACTCCTCCAGTTTATTACTACAGTGAGGGATAGTTGTACTAAATTATTTTATTGTTTGCATCTGTTGTTGCATTCTTTGGTATTTTTTTGTCAAGCACAGATACCAGAGGCTGGGTGGGCGTTATTCCCTGCAAGAAGATTGTGGATTTGAGATATCAAAGAACCTTAATTATTTTCCCAGTTTACCCTTATGACATTTAAATGCAGAAACAGAAACAGTGCTACACATTTGGCTCCTTTTTTCTCTCTTTGTAGACATGAATGTGAAGAACACCAGGAAGTGTGGAAGCAGAGCAGCAATAGCAAAAATGGTTGTATCAATAAAGATTACCAATACCCCAGGACAAAGTATTGGTTCTCTAAATCTGTTGTATCTTCTGCACTGGTAAAATAACACACAGTCTGTTTGTATGAATAAAATATTTTGTGTGTCATCACATCTGATTTCTATTCCTACACTTGTTATGATGGTCAGAAAGTTGATAATAAACTCACTCTTTGTAAATTTCTTTGTTGTCAGACTAAATCAGTAAGTCAAAAAGGTCATGGACCTAACATGATTTTCCCATGCTTCTCTGGGAATGCTGTGCCAGTCATCCCTAGAAGAGTAAATGCAAAAACATTTGTAGAGGAGGCGCTCTGAGATGACTGTTCTGATTTATTCTGCATATCTGAACAGCGAATTAAGGAACAGACTGAGCTCACTGACGGAAATTACCCTTGATAGAAACTCTCTGTAGTCAAGATAATTAGTGGTTATGAAGTAGGTGTCTTTATTTTAATTATACTCTTTGGGGAATGTTTTTTACAAGTTCATATCATTAACTGTCCATCTCCTCTCCAAAGAGAACATGAGAAATAGCTTCCTCTCCCTCTCCCTCTCCTCTCCTCTCCTCTCCTCTCCTCTCCTCTCGACAGAGACTAAATAACAGGACAGACATGAGTTCAAAATGTTATAAATAATACCTTAGAGAAATGTTAGCTGTAACATGGGTATGAAATATATAATGGAGTAAATGGAGCAACTGTCAGGGCTCTAGTCAGAAGAAAAATGTATATGAAGACACTTTTCAAAAAAACTTTACTTGGCAACAGTCTGTCAGCACTTTCTTGTGAGCAATTTTAAAGCTTGTTTAAACTTTGTACCTGGATCCTTACTGTAGTACACTTCATGGACTCCAGCTTGTTCTGAGTATGGAGTAGTTTTTTATTTTACTCAGTGGAGCATTTTATTCTTTGTTCAAAAGCTCTTTTAAATTTTATTTGAGAGGTTTGTCGTGGGAAAATGATGCCAACCGGGGATTTCAGTAACGTATCAATATAGGAAGTGAGACATCACTGCAGGTACGTGACTCAGAACTGTCTTAATGGATTGATAAACTCTTGATTAGTCACAGCTTGGAAATTATGTACAGAAGAGCTCATTGATGCCTGAACAAGAAATCTGTTTCATTTAAATACTGTCTGGTCTCCTGCAGTTCAAAGGAGATTAGTTATGTTGAAATACTAAGAAATACTTGCTTTTTATCTATCATTTAATAAATTTCAGTCTACTTTAATATGAACCACTTCAGGAAGTTGTGGAATATAGGATAAATTGTGAAAAAGAAAGAAATAGATTAAATACTTTCTGCCTGGTAGGTGAAGCTGATAATGTAGTGGCTGTGACTCACCACCTCTCCTTATTTAAATCTGTACCCTTGGATATTTCTTGTGCTCAGCTTGTGGATGCTGTGGGAACTTCTGAAAAGTCCTGAGTAAGCAATAGCTCTCTAACCCTGAGCAAGTGTGCAGATATGGTACTTAAAAAGGCAAAAAACTTTTAGTCTGCCATGGGTTTGCCAAGATTGCTTTCAAGAAGCAGTGTTTTCACAATGTAAACACAGTATTTACCAATTCACAGACCATAAGAGGTTTGCTTTGAAGCTAAGAAATCCCCCAGTTCTTTTTACACATTTGGGGTTTTTTTTTTTCCTGTTTGTATTTGATACTCACACTGCAAATTTTGGCCTTTGACTCAGGAACTCTGGTGGAAAAAAGGGAGGGAAATTTTTTATCTAAGTATGTCCTTGTATTCAGATAACCTCTAGATGACCTTCAGACATCCCTTCCAATCTCAACAAGTCTGTGGTTCTGCTCATTGCAATTATGATACAGTGTCATTGCCTTCACAGCAGCTCCAGAGTGGAGAAAGGACTCATACACTTCCTACAAATTCTGGGTTAATTTTTAAAGAAGGAAGGTACTGAAAAATGCCAGTTAAGCTGTATTTGAGTGTATTCTGTTTAAGGAATACTGTACTGTCATTAATCCAGAAATTACATTATAAAATAAGTTTTGAGAACTGTGTGTATTTTTAGATAAGACTTCCAAATATATAGCTTTTAATTAAATTTGTACAGAAAGCATAACTTTATAGCTCTCAGTTACAACTCAAGACCTCCCAATCTCACGTACATTGTGCTAGCAATTGTGTCAACAACCTCCAGCTGTAGCATTCCTGTGTGGCAGGAGCCTTCACCTGAGTTAGAGGGATAAGGCACTGCTACAGAAGCTGATGCTATTTAGTGCTTGTTTCTCAGGGCTGTAGTCAGGCAGCTGTGAAGGAGGCTGTATGTAGGCACAGCTCTTGGGAATAGAGCTTCTGATTCTGAGGCTGGGCGAAGCCACTTCCAGTAATTTGAGGTCTGCCCTGCAATGCAGCCCAGAAAGTGTGCACTCATCTTTCCTGCAGCTATGGAAGATTAGACTCAGTAGAATGAAGGGTACTTTTAAAATTATATTCCTTAAAAATAGGAGACAGGGACTACTGGTGTCTGCTAGAATTTTTTCAACCAGAAAATGGCTAAATATTGCAGCCTATTGTTTAAGCTTGATTTTGGTCTTGCTTGGTGTCTACTTCAAACTCAATTCAGTGGTGATTCTGCTGGATCCCTCTGTGGATGAAAGAAAACATGCATACTGACAAGAGCTTGTGTGTTGTTTGTTTCTTCTGTTCAAGTACATAATAAGGGTGTGCAAGAAGTTTAAAGACTAAGTTGTAGATTCAAAAGGAAGGAGGGCATGGCCAGGCTTTCAAAAAGAGATTGCTTTTACCCAAACTATAAAATCAACAAAGCCTTTGCTGTTGATTGTAGAACTGCTTTTTAGCATTCAATACAACACTTCTGAATAATTAAATACTGTTATTTTGAAGGAGGAGAAATAGTATCATTCAGGAAGAGCAGGTCTTAACAGATCTGTTGCTAATAATTCTCTTGCCTCAGATGTAGGGCTTGGACCAGTGACCTCTAGAGAGCCTTTCTAATTTAAATTCTGTAAAATAAATAAGCTTAAGGCTTACACAACAAATAGGTCAGCTGAAAGTCAGATGACCACATCATGTTCAAAGATGATAGAAACTAAGCGAACACACACAATTTCCAGTCTCAAGGGAAAAAATCCTTCATAAACCCAGAACTTGCAAATGTAAAACATTTCATATGTGAATGTAGTAAGTTTAAACTGCAATGAATGCTTTTAAGACAACCTTGAATTATTTTACAGAAGTTAGAAACTGCAACATTGGCCCCAACATCGACAAGCTCTCTTTTCTCCTTTTAAAAACAGTGTAGGTAAGTTAGTGTAGCTTCTCTGCACTCCACAGTGAGGAAGAAAGCATCCTCCATTTAGGAATAAAGTTCTGCTATTAGTAACTGAGTACCTGGGATTACAGACCAGTGGAAAAAAAGACTGTGTATTTCATTACACAATCTAAAGCAAGGGTGTTTTGAGTTCTCCAAGTGATGGTATAAAGGCAACAGGCTGAAACAGAGGCAGCAATAAATATGTGCAATCCTTGTTTGCCTTGAGAAAATGGCAGGGATTTAGTGAACAGCTAAGGATCTCTGGTCATAACCTCAGAGTCATGAAGAGGGGAAGTAATGCGGCTGTGAAGGACCTACATTCCTCTCCCATTAAGTCAGTGTCACTCATTCCTGAGAGATTTTTACAAGATTGTTAGATTAAATCCCATGGAAAAGAATGAACCCAAACTGCAACAGACAGGAGTTCTACACTACCCTTAACACAGGCAAAGGTGATGCTTATCTGGGAATAATTCTTATGGCATCTAATCTTTAAGACTGGTAGCATAACAAATGAGACCAGATCATCTACGTACCTTTAAGAAAAAAATATTTATTTATAAAAATACAATGGGATCAGTTTGAGAAGTGTGGCAATAAATACAGTTCAAGGAAGAAAAAAGCATTTCTACATGGATATATTATGGCACAATAAAAGGTAAATGCACCATCAATCATGGAACTTCTGTTGGCTCAAGACTTTTTACAAGCTCCCTTTTTAGTAAGACAACTATTTCTAAGTTTGGTCAGTGTTGATAATGGAATGAATACACAATCACAAATGCACAATTATGTCTAATGCAAGACTTACCATTAGCAAACAATACCTTAAAAAATAGCAATGATATTAAATCACTAATGAGATATCTTAAATTTAATTGCCAAAGACCACATGTAACTTTAAGCATGAGATTCTTTTATCTCCTCTGGAGAAAAGCTGTAAATATGTAAAATGAAGGCTTAACTCGGTATGTAAAACCTACTTAAGTAGAGATCGTGAGAATGCATAGCTCCTTACGAAACAACCTGGCTGTATGAGAGCACTCCCCCTTTCACAGTATTCCTTTTACTTCATATGCAGTTATTGTTTATGCTGTAGACTACAACTGTTACAGCACTAAAGGCAACTAGACAGGGAAAGGGCAGAGAAAGGAGAAAGGAATGTATGTAAGGCAGTATTTCTTTAGGTACATTAAGTGTAGTGTGTAGGAAAGACAGGTAACAATTCCACAAGGCTAGTTTCGTTCTTACTGAATAAAATAATGGACTAATACTGAACTTTCGATGCAAAGCTAGTAATCAATGCCCTGGTCACTGTACTGACCATGGTAATCTCTTTGATAGTCATCTTGGTACTCTCCGTGATAGTCATCCGGGTATTCTGCCTGATAATCGCTATCGCTGATTTCTGAGCCGTTAGTTCCTGTTCCTTGGCTGCCGTTGTGAATGACAGGTTCTGTGGGTGCAGCGCAGTACTTGGGGTCATACACTTGCCGTCCAAGCCCGTACACACTCATTCCCTTCTGTGAAGCTACTTTGTTGGTACCCATTTGTAACGAAATAGTTGAGTTATCCACAGGTTGTAATATGTGCTTCTGATCGTAGATGTCTCTTCTGGTACCTGGTGCCAGCATACCAGCCTAATAAAACAGGATTGCAGAGGTTCAGTAAGAAGGTCAAGAGTTGTGATTCCTAGATTTATGATATCATACTAGAATGCCTCACTGAAAGTGCTCATAAGTAGGAATTCAAGTATAACGAAACACAGCACAGTAACAAGCGTCCACCTGTAGGTAAGTCACAGAAGAAAGTCCTTGCAGAAAGGTACAGTTTATGCTCCTCTTTGGAAAGAGTATGCTAAGTATTCTGACTAAGGCAGTGCC